TGTTGACGGCGAGAGAATGCCGGGGATGCAGGTTGTGACGGCGAGAGAATGCCGGGGGCTGTGATGCCAGGGGATCTTTGGAGCAGCACTATTCTAATATCTTCACCGAATCTGGGAAAAATGGCACCATCTTCGTCATATCGGAAGGAGTGTGCCTTGCTTCTTCGGATCTGAAATAGATTTGAGAGCTTTTCTCTACCATGGATGAATTTTGGGTCTGGATTTTCTCTTTGAGGATTTTTTAAACTGGTGTGACTTGATATTTGGGATCTTGTGTTTGTTGAATGTTTATTTTGGAATAAATCTTGGACTTGTGTCTTGAAGGAAGAACACAGAAGAAGAAAAGGTTCCTTAAGATGAAAGGGGCATTTTAGTAAAGTCAATGTTATTTTCATGTCTCCTAAATATGCGTGCCCGGTCAAACCGGGAAGTTCTTTTATGGACGGAGGGAGTATTTGATTGTTCTAACATGAAAAGTTTTTCCTAAGCCCTTCTATTAAAAACAATAGATGGTCACACAAGTCTTATTTGGTGCCAACTGGAAGAAATTAACAATTTTACTACCAATCAGAATCAAGTATCAAGATGGCACAATAAAAGCAAAATAACGGCAGCAACCTCTGAGCATTGTCTTGTATGAATGATTTTCGGTAATGCAAAATGACACTATTGTAACGATATTTAACCTCCTCCTCCAGAACTGGATCTCTCTGTCCCATACGATCTATCTAAAAATTTAAAAAAATGAAAAATAACATCAGCCATGTAATTTCCACCATAAGAACAGGGAAAAAATGATCAATAAGAAGGCAAGACAGGCTTTGTTAGATATTATCCAGTTAATAAGCTAAGCATTAGTACATGTCATTCCCAATTTCCCATGGACAGAACTTTTTTTTATAGAAAAAGTGTACCTTTATTTCCAAAACCTGAAAAGCCTTTATTTTGTTTAGTAATCTTGTCATCTTGTGTACCCAATCATTCATCATTAATCTTTGAAAATTTCATAGCCATTGTGAGGGTGGACATATCAAGATGTATGAATAGTATCACAGTCACCAATACTAGATTACTAGCTACTAAACCAAGTGGAGTCACATCATACAACTGTATACAATATAAACATATATCCAAATAGAGTTTTACTAACCAGCAATGCACATACACTCCCCTCCATTGCACCAGCATACCAGAAGAAGTCTCCGGTCAACCTAGCGAGTTCTAGTGCAGTGGAATAATGTGCATTGGCATCAACAGGTGATCCAGCCAACAAACAGTAATCTCCAATAGTTTTTTGTGCCCTTCCAAGTCTTCGTTTCTTTGCCTTGATAACCTAAAAGTTATAATAAAATATAATGCCAATTTATCAAGTCAATATTCAGCTGTGAAACAAGCAAGGAGTATAGAACAGTGGATACTAAAGAAAAAAGTAAGGTGCAAACAAATACTTGGAACACCTAAAATATAAACCTCCTCTGAACTGAGACTAGCTTGAGAATCTAAAGGAGTCTTCAGAATAGTTCCACCGGACTCTGCTTGAAGAACCCATTTTTCAAATTCCATCAACAGTGAAGCTGCAATATCTTGCATCATAGTTTGCAAGTGGAACTCTTGAGTCTGTCTATCCGCAGGTGGAAACAAAACTATATTGCTCCCTTTATAACTCTCCTCCTCTAGCTGCCATCAACCATATTAAAGCAGTCTACTTAGCAAAGAACAACAAAAATGAATATCTTTAGAATAGGACTTCAAACACCCCATCAAGTGAATATCACTTGAAACAATGTTTGAAAATGTGTGTTATTTAGGGCACTGAAAGAGTCAAATCTCCTACTCCAAAATTACTTTTCTTCACATATGGTTATCTAAAAGAGAATGATAGAGTAAATAATCATCATGCATATAGTCCTACCCTATCCCACAACAAGTGCAGTACTCTGAAATTCCTAATAGTGAACTCCTAACACGCAACAACTCAAAGCTTACCAATCGCTGAAGCCACTAAAAGTTCACACTTGTGCAAACTTACCAGTATCTAAAGCCACTTAAAGTTCATACTTGTGCACCCATATCGACAGAAAATCATAGAAAAAGTCTACTTGCATAGTTGCATTCGCCACAGTAAAAGCATTTTAACATTTCAAAGAACCAAATTCGCTGTCACAATAAAGGACGCCAGACAATACTTTAAAGGCAACCCAATGAAGGATAGCAATCCTGGATATAGAATGCAATCATACTACTTAATCATGAACAGTCACTAGCTTCCAGTACTGCAGAAACGAGAACAATGTAAGTATTAGAACCTGGGAATCTCCAGGGCAAAAGGCGAAGCAGCGTTGAACAAGGGAAGACGAGTAACCCCTGCAGGAAGAGGTAAACTGCTCCGCGACGGAGTGGAGATCAGGGGATGAAGGGCAGTGGCAAATGCCAAGGACAGCGAGGATCTTACGATTGGACTGGAAGTCCTCCCAAGGGCTAGCGGGCGATCCGCCGAGCATGAACTTGAACTGGAGGCTCCCGGAATCCCAAGGCTGGTGGGAGAACGGAGACTTCTGGTGCTCCGTGTAGAAGGAGCTGATTGAGGAGAGCGAAATGGTGCGGTGGCGGACGAGCATGGAGGTGTAATCACGGAAGAGCGGGATCGGAATTGAGCCGATTGGGAGAACCGCCACACGGATCATGCAGCTCGTCTCGATGCTCACATCTGGCTCCATTTTCAAGCCGTCGGTAATCGGTGGTGGGAGATCGTGGGAAGGTGGCGGACGGTGACGGAAATAGAGACGAATTTGTTCGTTCGGTCTGTAGATGGCAGACTCCACATCGCAGTTACAGAGTAGCAGATGCCGGTCCAATTCGTTAAACCATCTATTCTTGACAGAGCGGACCGAACCGTTGCGCTGAACCGGCTAACCAACTTTCTAAAAGCAAACTTTTTTTTAAGTTGCATTTTTACTATTTATATGATCAAATTTTATTCACTCTTTTTTTATATTTTGTTACTCATTTGATAAAGTAATATAATTATGTTACCTCTTGTTTTATAAAAAATTTTATGGAGTTCTTTAATATGTAAAGTTTATTTTTTAATTCTGCTTCAATTCTCTAATAAATTGCATTGAAAATAAATTCAATCAAATATCGTAACCGTAACAGATAATTTAAATTGGGTCGGGGGAGTAAAAGTTGTTATACAAAAGCTAAAAACATTTAAAGCATATTCTTTTTTGTTGGAATTTTAAAGTTGGATATTAGTAAAAATTTAGAGTAATTGAAATAAACTAGAAGAGATTAGAAAATATGAAAAAATTTTAAAAAAACTAAAGTATTAAAAATCACTCAATTAAATAATCTACGAAATGAATATGTACAAAGATTGTTATTTTGGATAAAAGGAATTCATCATTATCCGTATTTGAGGTGGTATATATGTTATAAATTTGGATATATATTTATATTGTATATTAATCATATATAAATATTTTTTAAATTTGTTATTAGAAGAAATCAGAAAAAATTAGAAGAAATTAGAAAGAGTCAAAAAAATAGGAAGTTAACTTTTTCAAATAAAAAAGATAGACCCTTAATCCCAAATTTGTCAAAAAAAATACTTTGTGGGTGTTTGTGAGTGCTTTTGAAAATGATATTCAACTTTTACTTTGAATAGAATCAGTATAGAATTTTTGCAACACTATGATTTTTAGCTTTTTAGTGACAAAAAAACAAAAGTTGAGAAGCTATTATGAAATGCTTTTAGATTATGTGGTTAAAAGAATCAGCTTTTCTAAAGAATCAGCTTTTCTAAAAATTGAACAATCTCAAATACTCTTTAAAAGTCTATTCTACACTCTGAAGTCATATGTCATAAGCATGAATAAGATGTTTGGAAGTAATTCACGTGTAAGTAAAATGATTTTCACAAAAAATTGAAAAGCAAAAAACATTTTGAAAAAACAGAAGTTATAACACATAAGTCAAAATATTTAATTCCAATTTTGCCAAATAATAGTTTTAGTCCATTTTGCACCCTGAAGCCATATATCAAAAGTAGAATTAGATTTGCCAAACATGCAAATTTGCTTTTGGACAAAATAAAAGTTCAAAAGTTGCTCTCTGTGATAGTGCGCCAGACTCATTTTAAACTGCTACCATCCAAAACAAAAGCTAAACTTTTAAATGGGTTGCATTGCAAAACATCATCTAAATTTGCTAAACACGCCAAATTGCTTTTAGATGAAGTAGATTCTCAAAAGTTCCTCTAACACAATGCTGAGCACCTTTGTTTGAGACTAATATAATGTGCTTGAATGAGACTAATATATTGCGTTTGAATGTGCTTAGTTTTACTTCATGGAGCGTGTCGGTCCTATTTGACCCTCACATTGCAAGAAGAGTAAAAAACAGAACTTCAATGCTCTTGAGTCATTTTGATAGACCCGTATCCGTAGATAGTGTTAGGAAGAAGATACAATTTTTCATATGGGTGTCGAGAACTTGAAGTGCCCATTCAATGCATGAGCATGTTCTCGAGCAAATATTTGGGAGACGTGAAGGAAAGCGAGTATGCAGAGGGAAAACATGAAGGCTTTTGTTGAAGAGAGGTGGGGAAATTGACTACTGGCTACTATAATTTCTACCATTAAAGTTTCTATGTACCAAATTCCCGTGATCATAACCAGAAGAAGAGACCATACAAACAAGTGAAACAACCCAAAGCTACAATGAACAAAGCAGTTTGTCTTTCCCACGACGCGTGCAAACCATATGAAGAACAAGAACTGGATTAACACCAAAGTCACATACCACTCGAGTCAAAACTCTTCACAATACAGAAAGGAAAGGGGGGGGATGTTATTCTAGACTTCCTTTTCCATTTGCAGCTCTTGAAGATACTACTTAGATACAGCTGTCTGGAGTGGAAGTGCACTTTCGACCTCCTTCGCCTCAGCAGCATTCCTTTTTGCAACAATCTTGGACATTCCAAACATCTGAAAGGAGTTTGGTAAGCCAACATTAATCTCAATGCACATTGATACTACCAATAGCAGCTCATCTCACATATGGAGCAATTAACAACTAATATACCACATAAAGTACATTGATCTTACCCCTAACTAAAAAGATAATCCGTAAGGGTAAAATAATCACAGAATAAAGAAGGAAAAGTAAATAACAACACATCCATCTTCATGCCCTATGTGAGCTGCATAAACTAATTCAGACAATTAGAAATCAGGCATTCAAAACAAACCTTCTCAATAGTATTCTTGAAGCAAGTTTTATGTTCATCCATCGAAGCATGAATGAACTCGTCAATGTGATCTTTCACGTCCTCTAGAAAAGAGGCACTTTCAGACTTCTTCTTCCGGCATGAAGATTTCGCAGCAGCATCAACAGGCGTGGCCGGGGTTTGTGTCACGGGTTTACCTCCTTCAGTAGCCATTACTCTGCTTACACACAGCCATTAAACACCAAATCTGAGATCAAGCATGCCTAATATATGGAGCATATGCTATGACATATCACAGATTCACAGTACAACATTGCACGTTTACTAAAGCAAATGACAGTTTTTTTATTTTTCCCCTTTTTCTAGACACAATAATGCCCCTTCATGTGAAAGGAATGATGTTCTTACAAGTTACAAATCAATCAGCATACAATCCACATGAACACATTCGAACATCCTACTGTTTGCAGAAAATATGACATTTTTTCCATTTTCCCCCTTTTTCTAGACACAATTATGCCCCTTCATGTGAAAGGAATGATGTTCTTACGAGTTACAAATCAATCAGCATACAGTCCACATGAACCTATTCGAACATCCTACTGTTTACGATTCGGCAGAAAATATGACAAAAAATCCGCTCAGAATCAGGTGATATAACAGGAGATATAGCATATTCAATAACGATTTCAACAACTGTTAAGATCAATTCAAAGGAAATGAAACAAGGATGAACTGCAATTCACCTGAGCAAGTCGCGAAGAACACCAGCAACAACAAGTCTGCGAACAAAACAAAAACGGATGAGAAAACAAGCATAATTAATCAGATCATCAGAACGAAAAAGAAAACCTGTTCAAAAATTTCTTACTCGAAAGATTAATTGGAAGAGATGAGAGTGATAGGGGTGATGATCCGTATATGTATAGGGACAGGAGGGCGACCCGACTTGGGGAAGGGGTAAAGTAGAGGAGAAGTCGATAGAAGTAGAAGAATTGTTAACCAAATCATGGTTAACATAGGCGGACAATGGGTATGGCATGCTCACATAATTATAATTACTCCCTCCCTGAATAAAAAATTGAAACAACAACAACAACTCAGTTAAATCCCACAAGAGTAAGGTCTGGGGAAGGTGTGTGTACGCAGACCTTACCCCTACTCGAAAGTAGAGAGGCTGTTTCTTGGGGTGTGCACAATTCGGTAAACCGACCGAACCGTACCGAAACCGAAAATTCGGTATGTACCGAAACCAAACCAAATAATTTGGTTCGGTATTCGGTTTTTCTTTTTTCTAAAATTCGGTTTTCGGTTCGGTTCGATTTGGTAATTCGGTAATTCGGTTTTTACCGAATACCAAATTATTACTTCATTTTATTATTTTAAATATTTTAAAGTTTGAATTCTAACCTTGAGTCCTAGCAACTTATATAGTGGTCTACCTTATTTTATCCTTCCTTTTATTGACAATTTTAATTTTTAAAAAATACTTCATATCTAGCTAAATTTACTCATGCTTACTATTTGACTCTTTCTTCTTTAATTTTTTTTTTCATTTATTTTAAATGGTTAATATATTGACCTCACTTCGTAGGGCAATAAATTACCGGTGGCTAAAGGTAAAATCTTTTAAACATTTTGATAGAATACTTTTTATATTTTGAATTTTTTATTTCTTTTTTTATATTTCATTTTTTACAAGATCAAAATCATGTGTTTCGATAATCTTTTAATAATATGAAAAACTAAGTAATTTATGATTAACTATAGCTAAAAATATAAAGTATTTCTAATTTCTTTAAATGTCGAACGAGATTGCTTGTGGTACAAATTGAAAATAAAAAAAGTGAAGTATAGATGAAAATAAAATGAAATTTTTGGTTTTTTCGGTATTACCGAATACCAAACCGAAATAATTTCGGTATTTACCGTACCGAACCGATTTAATACGGTTCGGTATTTGGTACAAATATAATATTACCGAAATTTCGGTTTACCGAAATTTCGGTTTACCGAAATTTCGGTTCGGCTCGGTTCGGTTTTACCGAATGAACACCCCTAGCTGTTTCCAAAGAGACCCCGGCTCAACGTCAAAAGTTGCATTGCTTGACTAACTGCTACTTCATTAATTAAAGAAGCGCAGACAGTTTAGAGACCCATTTTGATTTATTCCATCACACCCCAAAGCCAAAAAATGGTGAAATTTTGGCTCCATCGGAGATGATGGAAAAGAATAAAAAAAATGAAATAAATCTCAAAATTTTTCAAATTATTTTATTTAAAAATTAACATAGAAACAAAAAAATTTAAATCCTTGTATTTAAAAAATACTCCGTATAAATCAAAAGTTTTACAAATAAAAGCGAGAAAAGTGCATTGTTTACTCCCTCCCAATTCTTTGGAAATTGCATAGTGTACTTCTATACATTAAAAAGTGCACTGTTTAATATTGAACTCTTTAAAATTGCACAATTTACCCCTGAATAATAAAAAATGCACTAAATACTTCTGAACAATTTAAAACATTACATCATTGGTCCTAAAATACTAGATAGGAAGTACGTTGCTCCCACTCACGAGAATTGCGAGTATGATTCATCTCGCCCTTATGAATTCTTCAAAGTACCATTTCTCAAAATTATAGTCTTTATTTAAATGTTCAGAAGTAAACTGTGCAATTTTCGAAGATCAGTACTGTGATATTTGGTGCATTGTTTAATATTTAGGGGTAAATCATGCAATTTCTAAAGAATTCAAAAGTATTTGGTGTACTTTTTCATATTTGGGAGTAAACCATGTAATTTCCAAGAATTCGGATGTAAATAGTGCACTTTTCTCAATAAAAACTAAACTTGCATATTTTAGCAAATAGTCAATGAAAATATACAATAAACAAAAGTTTACATGATTTTTGAATAGTAAAAAGTACGGAGTATAACTCATTGTGGGATGGAAGGCGTATTTTTAAAATTAGAACAAATTATACACTTATGTTAAAAATACCTCGTATATTTTTTTAAAAGTATGTTTCTCAAATAAAATGAGGATTAGGTCTTACAATTTATTCATGTACTTATATATACTCTGTGCTCTTTTCGTTCATAATTATTGATTATTACTCTATATAACTTTTGTGAAACCCGAAAATTCGTTCATCTTTTGATATATTTTCAAAACTCATATTTCATAGTCAATAAAATGTTAATGGAAGGAGTATGGTATACTCCATATTTTGTACGTAGTACTATATCATTAAATTAGATAAATTCATGTAGGGAATAGACCAAGTGATATATTATTGCATCACGATAAAAAATTTTCATATAGATAAAGTAAAAGAAAACTGCACCGTTTACCTTCGAATTCTTTAGAAAATATATAATTTACCTTTGAACATTAAAAAGTGCACTGTTTACCTTCGAATTTTTCGAAAATTACACGATTTACCTCTGAATATTAAAATATACACCAAATTAAATACCCTTGAACAATTCGACTATGTGATGTGATTTGAGCCTATTTTAAGTATACTCATGTCATATACTTTGTATATTGTTGCATTACATTAAGTAAAATTACTATGATTGATTTTTGTTTGTTGTTTCACACGAATAAAGTGATTATTACTTGTTACTCCCTCCTTCCATGAATTTTTTTGTAAGACTTCATGTAATTAAATACTACGTATATATGTTATTCATACTTATAACCACTAAATTGCCCCCTATTATTGTAATATCCTCCATCAATTATTACCATCTCTTATAAACTTAAAAAGTTCTTCTTCACTACTACACTCATATCTCCAATTAAGTTGGTCATGGATATTATCATTCAAAGGTTTTTTACTATGATAGTGGCCGGAAAGGACTATGCTTTTCTTGCTTGTCAGAACATATCACTCCATATTTCATTAAAGAATTTATAAGAAGATTAATTTCTTTTCAAGTTCAAAAAATGTTCTATTTGATTTAAAAACAATGCATATTTGAAGTTCAATACCAGTATTAGTAGAATTATTGAGTAAAATTTGCAATTAATCTTGTTAAAATCAACATGATCACCGGTATAAATTTTACTATATTACTCCGTACCAAAATTGTAACATACAATATGATGCGGCATAAAATATAGACACAAAACTTGTACTCCGTACGTGATAAAGATGTTGCATTTGGCGCGTCATGAATTCATAAATAATGATGTGTGTTTCACATAGATTCTGTAACAAATTGATTAAAATTTTAAAATCTCAAGACTCAAGGCAAACATTATCTTGCTGATTTTGTAAAATCATTTTTATCAATGTGAAAATGAAACCCTTTAATAATATCCCATGCATCTTTCAAAAAAGAAAAAAACTTGTCCCAAAAAAGAAAAAGAAAAAAAAGACAAAGAATTAAAATGATATTATCATAGCGATCAAGTGTTTTCTTATATTCTGGTACTCGTATATATTTGATTATGCAAACCAAAAAAAATTATTTGGGATACTTTGTAAACCAATAATTCTATACATTAAAATTATCATTTTTAATTACATATTAAACACTTGTGTTTTTCAATAAATATATTTCACTGTTTTAAAATATACACATTAAACATATTTTTTTCATTGTGAAGTACTACATAGTTATTTGGTTCATGGCTTATAGTTCACCATGACTACCATATTGTGTCTGCTGGGCAATTTCAACCGTTAGTTTTAACGTTTTGAAGACGCTATGTAACGACAACATTTAACTTAATATTTTCAAAATTAATCTGCACTAATAAAAACAATCTAAATTGCTAACACTAATTGAAAATATTACGAGTATTCGCAAACCGGGTCATTGCAAATTATGAACCAGCCACAAATGGAAGCCGAAATAGTAGCATTCAAGACATTCAACACAAGCCCAACAACGAATGAGATTGAATCACAATATGAATGAAAACAATAGAAAGTGAGCAACCATTTTGCGTAAGAAATATTTGGAGACTTGTAATAATTACAGTACATATTAGCCGCGGAGAGTTTTTGATGCCTTCCTTAGATTGTCCATGGCAAAACAAACGCCTCTTGGTTCACTTCAGTTTCATGGATTACAAAGCATCTCTCCTTCATGATGAAATATGAAGCTCAATGACATCAATAGTCAATCTGCAAGATACTACCCTCAAAAACATACTTCTGGTTGATCTTTGTTGAAGATAAACGGTGTTTTCATAGCTTCCCAGACATGTTCTTCTTTAGCACAAGTGCAGAGTAACTTGAAACACTTGATCCTCTGAATGAAAGCCATAAATCACTCTTTCAACATTAATCATATCACGTATCGATTTCATCTTACATTTATTCTTGGCCTGTTGTATCTTTCATCGTTCAGGTAACTACTACTCGATTCATTGTCATAATTGTTGGTTCTGGGACCACGATTGAAGGATCCTCCTCTACCACTTCTGCCGCCTCTAGAATCTTTTCTATTCCAGCCTTCATCATCCCAACTGCTCTTCCCATTCCTGTGAAAATCCCTTGTTCTTCTGTAAGAGTCATATGTGAAAGACTTTCTTTGCCTATAATCCCCATCACTGCGGTCTAGGGAACCCTGTCTGCCCCTTTGACCTGGTTTGGCACCTCTCTGTCTGCTTGTATGATAATTTAGATCGTCGTCATCAATGTCTGAATCAGAGGAACGTTCATATTTGTTCTTTAAGCCTCTTCTGCCTCCAAACTCCCGGGGAGATTTCATACCTTTCTTGTGGCGGCTTCTGAAATCCTCATTAAGGTCATCATCATCTGGCTCAAAACTAGAGGAATGCCTGGTATAAGATCTTTGTTTAGAGTTGGGAAGATGGCTAGAATTCCAATTTGAGCGGATTGGAAGTTCATCCTCAGAATCAAAATCAATTTCAGAATCTTCAAATCCAGGTGAAGTGACTTTGCCAGACATTGACTTGGGTTTTCTATTGGTTGAAGTGTTTTTGTGGTGGTAA